CACTCACACACACACACAGACACACACACACACACTCACACACACACACACACACACACACATCAATGAGACGAATGAGACGTCAGTGTGTGATGATCTCATGCTGATTAAAACACACACTCATTGTGTATGCTGGAGGATTTGGAGGATTTGAGATCCTGAGCTCACTGACAAATATCTGATCTTCCTTTACACAGAGCGCGCGTGATCGAAAAGTGAAAGTGAACAGCAAGCGCTCATTCAGAAGAGATTTAAATACTCCGCATACTGAAAATTATATGCAATATTCGAATGTTTGCGGTAGACTGGACACAAAAATCGCGGGAGCGGGCGATAATGGTCAGAAATTCAGCGGGAGCGGGATTAAGAAAACAGTTCCTCGCAGGGCTCTAAAACAAAAAAATTTATCGCACACGATGAATGGCGACTGTAGAAAGCAAAAGACGAATCCCGGACATTTTGGGTGATTTAGAAATCCCGGCCGGATGCATTTTTTTACGTTCAAAAAGAGGACAGGACATAACTATATCGCTAACTAAAATAGTTCCAAATAAAGCCACAGCGGAAACATTAACATCTCCGAGAAACACAGGTGTTTGGTTTCTGAATGATTCGTTATGAACAAATTGGCTGAGCGAAAGATTTGAATATCCATTCATAAAATCACCAGTTAGATGCTTCGTTCCTGAATGAATCAGTACTTTTGAACGAATCAAACACGTAAGAAAGTGACTTGTCGCCATCTGCTGGCGGTTTTAGTTTCATAATAAAAACACAATTTATATCGTTCTATGTTCAAAATGTACAGTGTAAAGTAAGTAAGTGCTAAAGTTAGATTTAAAAAAGATACAGTTTTCTAGATGTAGACTGGCAGCCCAGCACAAATTTTCTTATTTACATTAATTTTATTTAGAAAATCAAAACCTTCCATGTTGTCTGTAAACCTGATAAAATTCTGTTCAGTTTGTTCAGTTACCAAATGTTTTGACAATCACAATACACTTCTTTAGGCTTTTAGTGTTCAAGTCGATTCTAAAGCTCGAACTCTCATTATTGGACCATATGCCAAAACATAATCAAAGATTATACAGACATTAAAACTCCTAAAAATTATTTTTGAACTTATTTGTTAACTGTCTGCCAAATCCTAGTCTGTGGAAGCCATAGGAAGCCATGTTGTTGTCATGTGACAAAAAAATATTATTTTTTAAATACTTTTTTAGATATTTAGAACATTTTCATGAGTTCATAGGAAATCATAGGAAAAATATAGACTATCATTAATAGATGTGTGTGTGTGTGTGTGTGTGTGTGTGTGTGTGTGTGTGTGTGTGTGT